AATGGGATTCGAGAATTATTCATTTAACAAGTTAGGTAACATGAAGAAATGGTTCAAAAGTCTATTACCACAACAAAAGTTGAATCTCAAAATTGTACCGAAACGAGAGCCTATCAGGTTCGCAACTGAAGAAAAGAAGAATGATCCCGAATTTGTGTTGAAATATTTAAGGAATAATGGGAGTCAATTGAAATATGTTTCCAAAGAACTAAGGAATAATAGAGATATTGTTTGTGCAGCTGTGTCAAATTATTTAGATGCTATTCAATATGCTTCAGATGAAATCAAAGATGACGAAATATTTATGAAAGACATTCTGCTTATGCATCCTCTTACTGTTAGATTTTGTTCTGAAAGAGTGAAAGGAACAGAAATTGCACAAGAGACTATCAGATCCAAGCCGTTCAGAATGGAGGAGATGCCTACTCTTTCTGTTGTAGAATTCATTCCCAAGTCAATAATAGAGAACAAAGAATATGCATTGAATATGATTCAAAAGACATGCAATACTTATCTGTCCCTGTCTGACAACTTGAAAGAGGATCGTGATATTTGCTTAGAGGCAGTGAAAAATGGACTGTGTATATCAAAAATATCACCCCTCTTCAAAGACGATAAGGAAATAGCACTTAGTGCTGTAAAATCTTCCTATCGCAAATATGAATTCATCTCGGAAAGACTCAAGAAGGATAGAGATATTGTGTTGACAACTTTCAAAAATATTACTTACAGCTTTAGTGCAACAGTGCCTTTTGAAGTTAGTGACGACAAGAGCTTGATATTGGAATCAATAACTTATAACAATACCTTGATTCTCTTTAACATTATTTCTGATAGATTGAAATCGGATAAGGAGGTAGCTCTCAAATTAGTATTCCATGATCGTGGCTCTCTTTACAAATCCCTTCCTGAATCTTTGAAAGTTGATGTTGAAGTGTTAACAACAACATTAAACTCAATGATCCAAAAAGGAGGTACCTATTTTTCGAACTTTGATTATATACCCGATCAAACACTTTATTTGTTTTGCCATGATTATCCTAAAGCTCTATTACTCTTACAAGTACACACTTCGGCATTCCCCTTAATAAGTCCTAAACTGAGATCAAACAAACAATTCATATTGGAATTACTGAGTTTAGTTAGAAATTTTTATGGGCAAAAACTTGACCTTTCTTGTGTTGATAAGTCATTACTTCTGGACGAGGATGTATTAATGAAATTAGCAAATAACAAATATGGAGTAGAGTTGTTGAAAATACTGCCTAAGGATGTTTACTTGAGTGATAACATGATTCAGCATCTTGTGATGACTAATCCAGCAACAATTTCATATGTGCACCAAACTCCAGATCTAGTAATGACGGCTCTCTCTCAAGGATATAATTGTAGTCCTTCAATTCTTTCAATGATTAAGGAAGAGATATTAACTCTTGAGATGGTTATAATTGCTTTGCAGCATATGCAATATAGATGGATAGATGTTCCAGAAAAATTTACTTCAAAAGAGAATATTATCAAGATATTGACAGCCCAGCCAAAATTATATGTTGGGTTAGACTTTTATCAAAAGAGAGATACAGATTTTATCAAATTGGCAATTACTGAACCAACTAATTTCAAGATTATTCCTTACAATTTTCTTACCTCAGAACTTGTTGTTAAGGCACTCCAACACAACACTCCTGCTGATATTGAAAAATATATTTATCTACACCTTCCAACCATGTTCATGAAGAATGAAGAGGTTTACAACTTGCTTAAGGAAAAGATTCCACATTTAAATAATTTACAATAGATTATCTGAAACTTCCTCGTCTCTACTAGAGGCAAAGAAAGATGATATTGAATTTTGGCCATTTTTCGCTTTGTGTTCATTCATGAATTTGGATAATGTAATTTCGCTTGCAAGAAAGGCGAAACTATTGTCTATGAAGGATCCTATGGATTTGTGATCTTTAGCCTCCTGAACATAAACTTTGGTATTCTTTAACTTGAGTGGTATTTGTTCGTTTAAGGTTTTTTGAATTGCATTTCGAATATTTATAGACCTGGCGCTTTCTTCTAATGGTGAATCGTCTTCATTTGTCATTATTATAGAATTTCTCTTATCTAGAGAATTGTTTAATTCTTCCTCTCTCAAATTGTACAAATCCTCGTCATGATAACACAAGAACACAACTGGTTCCTCAAATTCCTCAAAATTTTCGTTCTTGTTATTCCTCATTATTCTCCTCTTGATATATGTTTGCAAGTACTGAATTGCAACTCGTAATTGATCCTCAAAACTCTTTGGCAAATATTCTTCACCATTTACTTTGCAACCAATATCTAAAACATACACGAATCCTTCAGTATCCTTTAGTTGGTATTGGTTATGTGTAGGAGACATATCAATCCATTCCAACGAAACAAGTGCTAATTCATTTTCATCAGATTCTATTGGATTCATAATTGGCCTTGTTGATATAAAGCTGTCAGAAGTGGGATCCAATCTAAATGAATCCGTCGATTTTAACTTTCCATCCATGTAATACCATTCACTTTTAAGGTGAAGAACAAATAGAATTGTAAATATGGAAGAATTTCGTCCAAAAATGCCAATTTTAAACCTGGGCACTTCTTGATCAGTATTAAAAGTGAGATTTTCTCTTTCAATTTGGAACTCGATAGGATTATAAGGTACTTGTGTACTATTATTACTGTACAAACTGTTGGTTCTGCTTATTACAGAAGTTGCAACAGAATTAGAAATTTGTTGTTCTGGTAATGAGTCAATTGGTGGTTGCGAACTCATATTCGAATTATTACTATCCATTCCATTCGATGGAGCAGATGTTCCAAACAAATTATATCTCAATCTTCTTCCGTAATTCGTATTTCGGGAAGATGGAATAGGAACCATCTCAGAAGCTAACTTTGGTTGACCACCAGGTGTCATTGTATATCGTCTATTTGTTGAATCCTGTAATTTAGGTGATGATGAAGGTGATGAAGAATTCATTGTTGGTGATTTGCTCTGTTTCGACTTTTCCAAATATCTATTTCGATGCTGACCAGCACTCCCACTACTCGTAAACGTTTCCTCCTCTCCAGTCATTAAAGAATTCATAAAATCATCATTGGCCGATATTGAATTAAACATTTTGTTTTCCTCCTCCCAAAAAACTATTTTTGTTATTATTATAATTATTAAAAACTCCTTCTATTGATGTTGTTATTGTTCAATAGCTATTGCAATATTGTTATTATTTGTTTCAATTATATAATGATGCTCTCTACTCTCAATGATTGTTACACTTCCTCCAATAAGATTTCCAATAACAAAGAAGAATAAATTAGCTTGTCCCGTAAAGCACAACAATAACAACAATTATTGAAAATAATATTTAAATAATATTTAAAGAAGGCTTTGAAAATATTGTCCTGATATTGTGTGATATTCTTTTTTGCTTTATTTTTTCAAAGATTGTGTTAGGATCAAAACTCCAAGAATATTTGGTTGTAATTTTTTTTATGGACATGTTGAAAATGGTCATGTGCGCCAGAATTGGTTACGCGCCAAAATTTAGAAAATTGTAGTGTGAAGCGAATCGTTTGGTTTCGAATAGTTTAGGATGTGAATTTATTGGAAGAATTAGACATTGTCGAGGTTTTTGACAAAATCTTTGGCCCAATCTTTGGCTCCATCCACTGCATGTTCCAGAATAACATTGAGAATGGTATCAGTGTACTCAATATCATTCTCTTTCAACAATCGAATAACTGTTTCCGTTTCTTCCTTCATGATATCGTTCTTAATTTCAAGAGAAATTTTACCTCCCAAATCTGAATCCTTTTTCTCACCTCCATTTTCCAAAAATCTGAAAATTGCCTTTTCCCATCTTGACCTAGTGCACACTCCCTTTGCAATTACTTTTAATTTCTTATCTAATTCTGAGAATTCATTAATCTTCATGATTTTCTTGGTTTTTGTTTCCTTGTATTGTTTGGCAACTAATTTGAAGGATGACATTTTACCATTTTTGTACATTTTTGTCACAATACCTTCAATCATTGCAAAACCACCAAGTTGAGATTTGGAATTATTTGCAACTTCTTTCAATTTCTTAAAATCCAGAATGCCTTGATATAAAATTTGAGAATATTCAAAACCAATTCTTTCAGCTTCTTCTTGAATTAAATTTGGAGGCAAATAGTGGCCCTTTTCATTTTGAATTTCGAATAACACAAATGAATGTTTTGGAATTCTACCATATAAAATTCTAGTATGTCTCAATCGTGTTACAGTTTCACCTCTATAGGTCCAATTCGGCCTCAATAAATCAGCAAGTGTCGAAACTGAACGAACAGCATCTCCAAAGAAAGTATCACAACCAATTGGACCTCTCTTTGACCTAAACACAAGTTGTGTTTCTCTATCAGTGTCCTTTACAAATTCTGGAAGAGAACTTGGTGTTTCCACTACATTTTCCGAATCTCCTTCCTCCTCATCATCATCATCCCTTCCACAACAACTATTCTTCTCCACCAATTCCATCTCATCCTTATACATTCGTTTAACAGAGAGTTGAGAACCATCAATCTTCTCCTGAGCAAAAACCATTGTCACTCCCTCAACCCATCTCCTATTAGAACCACCTCCAGATGACTTCTCTTTAGCACTCGGATACTTGGCAACGAGTTGATAGACATCTCTATCATGAAGTTTCTTCTTCTTATTTGTCTTGCTTCTGTCAAAGTTTGTTGATGTTTCTTGTGTTGATTGTTCCTCATCAAAGTCATCGATGGGAATCTCTGGCATGTCTTGTAACATTTTTTTTTGTGTTGTTTCAAAAGTTCATCATTTCTGGAAGTGCATTGTGTTTTATTGTAATTTTTGAAAATGCATATTCAAATTTCACTCTTTGGGAACTTGGAACTCTAGAAAATGTTGAAATAATTGTTCGCAACTTTGATTGAGATTACTCACTATTATAAAGTACCAATCGAAAAACATAAAATAGGAAGAATGATTGCATTAAGAAATCTTTGAAAAAAATGATAAAATCTCTTGAACTCATCACCACATATTTAAAACCACAATTTTCTCATCCTATACGTGTATTAGATAGGTTATTTGTAGAAAAAGTGATTGAGGAAGTGGAAGACCAGGATTTGTATCAACTAGCTGTTCATCTACACACTAAGAACCAACATAAAGAATTAACTTCTCTACTATTTTTGATAAAGGCAATGAAAGTGCATGGAAACACAGTAGTGGAAGAAGTGAGCAATGATCCTACCAAAGTGTTGCAGCATGTTAACGGAGAAACAAAAACTGTTTGGATGGAACTTACACAAGTGTCTGTTGTTAATTTAATTGAAGAACATTCTAACCAATCCGAATCCCTTATCTGGGAAGAGTTGAAGTCTGTAAGCAATACATTTCGTGAATGCTCTGTTTTCCCTAACATTCACTGTTAACATCCCACACCAGTTCGAGTATTTTGTCAATGGCATGATACATATATTCAAAGCTTATCATTGCACCGAAAGGGACAAACACTTGGAAATGGCCTACGAATGCCTCTCTTTTTCTTCAGCAATCTTTATTGAAGATACCTCATATTGGTTATGGCTACGAGATTTTATGGAAATTATTCCACTGAATAAGTTGGAGCTGTTTGTTTCCTCCTTATTATTAGGTGCACCTAGACAATTAATAGATACTGAAGGTATTATTTCCATGTTGAGGAGTGAACATATGCGATGTTTTGCAGGGTTTGACATGGAAGTGTCAATAGAGTTAGCAAGAATTTTATCAGAGATTAACCAAGCTCTGAAACAACCTAAAGAGCTTATTGATCTTATTGAATTGGCAGAAAATAACCCCACATCATTAAATTTACTGTATGTATCGGTAAATATTAGAGAGATGAATCTAGATGATGAAGGAAGGCTATTTGCCATTCATAATATTGCAAGTCCATTACTTCAGTTAAATGACCTCACTCCGGTAATTGACAAGTTGGAGGTATTAACATTTGAGTGTATTAGAATCATGAACCAGTTACTTGTTCGAATTATTCATAGAACAGCTCCGTTCTTCAATATTATTTTACATAGTTCTTTAACATTCTTGAAAGAAGAAACAAAAAGAAAGGCTGTTCTGACAGTATTAATTGAGCGAGTTGAACCTTTACTATCATCCATTCAAGATTTACATCTCATATACCGCTTGATTGAACTGATGATGTGCATGTATGCATTTCTTAGCGACCTTAATCCTTCCCAAAATCAATACCTGGAAAAGAAGGAAGAATACAATAAAGCATTCAATCAAATTGCTTCAATAATGTTAGATATAATGAATAAATTTATTAGGTGAACTTGAAAACACGTAGCTCCTAATTACCATGTTAGTTACTGGTAACAGAGTCTCTTCTGGCACATTCTTTCAATATTTTTCGTTCTTGATTGGTCTTTTTGTGTTCCTTAATGAAATTGGTGATGAAATTCCACTTGGAACCGACGAAACCTGAGAAACTCATCATTCTATCATTGGTTGTTCTGGCTGGGGCAACTGTCAGACTATTCATACAACCGAATATTAAGACAAACACCAGGCCTAAACCATGAGATAACCAACCACTGATAATTTGATTTTCCTTATCCATGTATGGAGCAATATACGAATCCCAAATACCAAAGACACCTCTCCAGCAAAATACACATCCAACAGCTACGATATAAACGTGAACCTTCTCAACAATCCACAGGAATGAAAGAATGCAAAATCCAAATATCTTTGGTCTCATTTTGTGATAGGGTCTATCGGAATCTCTGAAACTTTCCCTGACACTCTTCCAGTATTTATGGAGAATAGTGTGAACATCATGATTGCTCACAACCACACTCAATAATTGGAAGAAACCGACTGATGCAATACCTATTCCTAAATATATTAAATTAATTTGGGCTGCCCTCTCAGGACTTGTCCCTCCAAACACAACATAGCTCTCTATGAGAACCCAAGTTCCTCTCCAGAATGAGGCAACACAAAAGTTGATCAACAAAATTGTCACTAAAATCTCTAAAACATCCAAACCTAGAAAACTCATATTCCAGCAAACTTTGCTTTTTCGTGACTGTTTTGCTGCCAGCTCCTTTCTCAAATCTTCCAGCTTGTTTTTAGTTCTGTAAATATCGTAGAGAATTTCCTCTTCTGGTCTTTCAAGAGGAGTCTGTTCATTGTCCATCTTTTCCAAATCCTCTTTCTGAACCTCAACTGGATGAATTGCATTCTTTGATTGTGACTTTTGTTCTAGTTCCTTATTGACACCCAACAAGTCCTTTTCCTTTCTTAATAGTGATGCATCACCAGGAATTTCCTTCTGGTTCACTATATGATTATATAAATCGAATGTTTGTCTGGAGAGATTAGGTGTCGACCTTTGAATAGCGTCCTGATCCAACTTTCGAACAAAAACATCGTGATACATTATGTTTGGAGATGATCCAGCAGCATGTTGTGGTGGTTCACTCCAAGAAGTGCTATATACTTTCCTTCCCTGAATTGTTTTTGGTTCGAGTTCAACCATTGATTTCAAATCGATATTAGGAGGAGAAGTATTATTCGAATGTGGTGAAGTTATTGGAGAAACATTTGTTGGATGACCAATTGCTTCGTTATATGATGGGGGAGGAGGTGATTGTGGTCTACTATTCGATTGAGCTCCGGTGCTTAATCTTGATGTAGATCTTTGATTTGAGTTTGTACTAGATCTATTCGACAGTGAAGGATTATGCGGAACCATCGATGAAAGACTATATTGTGTTGGTAATTCATCATTGAATGGATCATCATCATAAGAAATATTTAAGGTGATTGGTTGTTGATTCAAGTCATAGGGTTGTAGATTACTGACAGGACTAGCCGAAACTAGTATTGAAGGATTAGTCGAATAATTCGAATAGCTTGGACTCAAGTAAATAGTTTGAGGTGATGTTCCGTTAAAGGGCTGGGAAGGTTTTGTAGGTGTATGATAGTTGTTGTTATTTACATCACCGGATGGTGTATTGTTTTTGTAGGGCGACGAATAATGTGGTTGTGCAGACATTTTTTCGTATACGAAAGTAAGGCTAATTGTAGTTTGAAAGAGGAGCGAGAATAATTTATTCAAATATTTACATTGTATTGGTGAGTTATTAAATTTGATAATCGTGTCAATTTCCATTCTTTTTATGAAAATCATTCTCTTAAATATCGCGAGATGATTGTTAGAGATGTTCCAATAGAACTTTCAACTGTGGTATTTTATATTAGAAAGTCGTGTGTTGAATAACTGACTAATAATTCAAAGTTCAGTTCAGCTATTTAAGTAAAACGTCCAATTCTGAGTTCTTCTTTCAAAGAAATTTCTTGAAACCACAGAAGAATAAATTTATTTCTTCTTGGCATAGAATGGAACTGTAGCATCACATTGAGCCATATTCCAACCAAATTCTTGTGGTGGAATAATTGTTATTTCCTTAATGTAAATAATCTTCAAATCAAGAGAAACAAAAGCTCTGAAACATTCCTTATTGACATCAAATTTAAGTTGACTAAAATCAAGACACAAGGAAATGAGCTTATCCAAAGCAGCTGGAGTAACGCAAATTGGTACAGTCAAATCAGCAATTGTCAAATTCTTATTATAAATAACCATTCCATCAAAAACAATTTGAACAATGGCTGATTCAGTCTTTAAATCAACATCAACAGAAAATGAAGCATTGAAAGCAACATGTTCTCCAACAATGGTTTGATTAACAGAAACATCACATTCAAAAGCCTTTTGATCCTTTGAAATATTACTATAGTGACAAGATGCTTCTTTAGCCTTCATCAATTTACTCTTCAGCTTCATAATTGCTGGATGTTCTGGTACTCTTTGAACGAGAGCAATTCCATTCAAGTCCAACTTTTCATTGCTTTGTTGGATCTTCTTTTGTGTAGAGGCAAAGATATCAAATCCGAAGGTTTGTTGCGAGAGGAAACAAACGACAACGAGACAAGCAATCAAACAAACAATTTTCATTTTCATTTTTTTTAAATAAATTAAATAATTCATGATGATGATATATTATCTAATAGCCAATATGAAACTCAAAGTATCGGAATGAATAATATTATATATTCTTGTTATATAATAAAAAAGTTTATTGTAATGCATTAATACTATTGGTACTTTAAATAAAAGATTTTTTTCGTAATTACAAAAAAATGCAAAGCCTTCATGATGAGGAAGGAAACATTCCAAGAGAATCGAACATTATCATCAATAGACAGAATGTGATTGGATCATCATCGGATAATAATGAGGAAGAAATAATAATCGAGGAAGATGAACAACAACAACAAGAATACAATCATCATCATACAATATCAATTAATAATGAAGATGAAGAGGACCAACAACAATCACCATTACCAAATATTCAACCGGAATCCAGAATACAAAGATTGAGAAGAACTTTCTTTTTAGGTTATTTATTAAAATTATGGGATATTACATCATCGATGATTCCTTTGGGATTGTTGAGTTTTGGTGGGCCAGCTGCACATATTTCAATTTTACAGGAGAATTTTGTGACGAAAAGGCAATGGGTTACTCTTGAACAATTTACTGAATTGTTTGCTGTTTGTCAATCATTACCTGGACCAACTAGTACACAATTAGTGATTGCTCTTGGTACAATTCATGCTGGTTATTTGGGAGGATTATTATCATTTATTTTCTTTGCTTTACCGACTGCTATTATTATGGCCTGTGCTGGTGTTTTGTTAAAGGATCAAAATGTCACTGAAATGTTTCCATATTATTTGAAAGTTGCTTTGAATGGATTTTCATGTGCTGCTGTCTCAATTGTACTTCATGCAGCATATACGTTATCATCACGATTGACCACTGATAGGATTTCAAGAACATTATTAATTGCTGCATTTGCAGTATTTATCATTTGGCAAAAATGGTATACTGTTTTAATTGTCATGTTTTGTGGAGGATTTATCAATGTAGTATTTGAATATACCCAAATATTCTATCAGAGAACAATCAAGGAGCACGGATTGAGAAAACCAAAAGGTTTCTTTGCATCCGCCAAGTTCTTTGCACGTGTATTTATTATGAATATCAAAGAGTTCAAGCAGTATATCAGTGAAAAGCTCAGTAAGCTGAAGAGACGTGGCAACAATAGAACAACAAGTGATTCTTCATTTGAATTGGAAGAAACAGGAGCCGAATCTGAACCACAACTCCTTAGAAATGAAGAAGATGCAGCTGATTTGGAATCCAATCCACCAAAGGAAGAAGAGGACGAACAAGACTTGCCACCTACAACAGCATCACCAACAGTTGAAGAAACCAAACTTCCACTACCAATGAGACCATTCATGGGTATAATCTTCTTGACAATATTCTTTGTCCTCTTATTTGGATTGTTTATTGCTCGTATTTCTGTGAAATATCCACCACTTGAATGGGCAGAAGGATTTTACAGAATTGGAAGTTTGATATTTGGTGGAGGTCATGTTGTTTTACCAATGATTTTGAATGAATTTTCAGAATTGGGTTATTTGACAGAGGATTCATTCTTGAATGGTTTTGCCTTACAAAGTGCCTTACCTGGACCAATGTTCAATATTTCTGCCTATGTTGGAGGTATTATGGGTGATGTGGTTGGTGCCGTCATTTGTTGGGTAGCATTGTTTTTACCTGCATTCCTTTTCGTTTGGGGAGCTTTACCATTCTGGCACAGATATAGACAGAAGCAAATTGTTAAGAGTATTCTCAAAGGTGTTAATGCAACCTCTGTCGGATTTGTTTTCACTGCTGTTTACATTTTATGGTTGGGAAGTGTTCCAAACTTGCATATTGCCTCAGCATGTACTGTTGTGTTCAGTATTTTAATGTTATCTGTTTATGATATTCCTGCACCACTTGTTATCCTTGCTGCTGGTGCAATAAGAATTATTTTAGATTTCAAATCAGTTCAGTAATAAAGTGAGATTTTATAAAGTTAAGAAGATTAAGATTTTCGATAATTATTATTAGTGAAAAAGTATCATTAATGAATAATAATAGGAAAGAGTTGATTTTAAATAGTTTTTTTTATGATTTAGTCAATTTAGAACAATTCGAAAGACTTCTTGGAACCCTTCTTTTCAACCTTGACAACGTTGAATCTGACAGTCTTGGACAATGGTCTACATTCACCAATGACAACAACATCACCTTCGTGAGCTTCGAAAGCTGGAGAAATGTGAGCAGCAACGTTCTTGTGTCTCTTTTCATATCTGTTATACTTCTTTTCGTACTTCAAGTAGTCTCTTCTGACGATGAGGGTTCTGGCCATCTTGTGGGACTTGACAACACCTCTCAAAATTCTACCTCTGATGGAGACGTTACCAGTGAATGGACACTTCTTGTCAATGTATTGTCCTTGAATAGCAGTCTTTGGGGTGGAGAAACCGAGACCAATGTTCTTGAAGAATCTGACCTTTCTTCTTTCTTGGTCAGTAATCTTACCATCCTTAAGTTTCTTCAACAAACCTCTCTTGTTACCCAAGAAGACGGATTCTTGCTTTTGGAAAGCTCTTTGGTTTTGAACGGAAAGTTCGATGGACATCTTGACTGTATTTTTTTTTTCAACAAAATTTCTAAATAATACCTAGTTGTCTTGGCATTTTTGCTCATTACAATGGAAATTTTCTCAAGGCATTTTACCTCACAACAATAAAATTGCTTGAACAACAACGCACAACATAGAGAGCAAGTTGTTTTTATTCAACAACAAACGACTCTCTGATGATAGGCTCATCATACAAATCCCTATCCGCAATATAAACAACACCCTGCATCAAACCAGTACCTGATAGCAGTGATCTCTTATCATCAACAACACGATTAGGAATGTAGGCAAAAAGTGAAGGATCCAACGACATTGGAACAACAAAAGGGAAGGCTAATACATTGGCTGATATCTTTCTCGAAGTATTGGAAAAGAAGGATTTGTTCATTAGTGAGAAGGGATGAAGAAAACGTGAAGCCAAATAACATCCATACTTTTCAAAGTTTTCCTCTTCTCCTTCTAGTACATTGGATAAACGTTTAGATAGATTGCTACCAGCTCCTTCTGCTTGTTTTCTATTATTCTTATGATGGCCATCATCTTCATCATCATTATTGAAGGAAAGAGTAGCATCATTGAATATTTCATCATGATTATACATGGTATTAAAGAAGATTTCATTCTCCAAGTTACCATTAATATAAAACTGAGGCTGATTTGACTTTTGAAGATAGGGTTGTAACATGCTCCTGTTGTATCGATCAATGGATGAGTCTCCTTTTGTAATTTTCAAGAACTTTTCCTCAGCTTTTTTCAATTGAGCGACTGAATAGACCATTCCAGGATAAAATCCAATAACACTACCCTTCTTACAGTGACCTTTCATGTAGAGAATATCTGAGGAATTATCAATCATTGGACACCATCCTAATTCATCATGGACCTTCTTTGAGAGAATGTTCAATCTTTGCTTTTCCATTCGTTGTAAAATTTCCACTTGTAATTTTGCCTTTTCATTAGGTTCATTGTGAAGAGATGAAATTGAGGATTTTTCAAAGAGTGGATGTGGAATTTTCTTATTTGCTTCCATTTGATTACTCAATTCAAAATTACTTTGTTTACGACTTTTAAAGAACTCGGCATCCATCTCTATTTGAGAATATTCTCTTTCGGAATTTTGGAATTGAGATTGTTGATGATTAAATGTTTCAATACTAGTTTCATGTGAAATATCAACTTCCTTCCATTTAAATAACAAATTTTCCACTTGTTTTGCAATCAAATTTTGACTGTTCGAAAATAATTTTGTTGATGATGTCGGAAAGTCATTAAATAAAACATAGGGAGTGTGTTGTTGCTTCTTGTTGGATTGTTGTTGCTGTTCATGAAGTTTTAATAATTTAAAACTTCTAATAAAGTAGAGTTTTTCCTCTAATTTTGATGGAGAGTAGAGAAATCGGAGAAGAAGAGGATACTTTTGAGACATTTTTTAATATAATTTAAATACAATGTAATATTAAATAAGATTGATGAATTCTCGGAACGGCTGTTGGATAAATAGAATAATTTTAAAAAGTTTTAATTTTCAAGAACAAGAAATTGTAAAGTAGTGTATTTTATGGAATATTCTATGGATTGTATCGATAGAATTTGTAAATATGCTAATTCATGTAATAAAAAGAGACTCTGCTAGGTTTTTAAAGTTTATTTGTCAAGTTTCTTCCTTAAACACTTTGGCTTAACAGATTTTTTAATTATCTGGAGACGAAAATGGATTTAAATTTAATTTTGAAATTTGAAATCAATTATAAGTTTTGGCAATTTCATATTTTGAAGTAATTGAGCACCTTCACTACTGAGCGGATTGGTTGTCATATTGAGATATCTCAAGTTTTTAAGCTCAGAAATTGCTTTAGCACCCTCAAAACCAATATGATTGAAACTAAGATGAAGACTGGTCAATTGTTTCATTTCACCAATTGCCTTTGCTCCTTTATCGCCAATAGCGTTTCCATCTGCACTGAGTGTTAATAATTGTTTCATTTTGCTTATTGATTTAGCACCTGCAGCACCTATCTGATCGCTGCATATACTCAAATTGGTCAAGTTTGGAATTTCACTAATTGCTTTGGCTCCTTCTGGACCCAATTGATTGTAATCAATTGTGAGGGTGGTTAATTGTTTCAATTGACTGATTGATTTGGCTCCACTTGCTCCAAGAGCATTCTCAGAGATACGTAGTTCTTTCAGTTCTTTCAAATTACACAATGCTTTTGCACCCAATTTTCCAATTCTGTTACTTTTAATTTCTAATTTAGTCAACTGTGTCATTCCACCAATAATTTTTGCTCCTTCATCGCCAAATTTGTTGGAAGATATTTTCAATTCAGTCAATTGTTTCATTTCACCAATAAGTTTAACCTGTTCCACATCTTCAGTACAAGAACAAACAGAAAGCTTTGTCAACTGTTTCAAATCAACAATTCTTTTCAAATCTATTTCTCTAACCCAATCAATTTGAAGCTCAGTCAATTGATTCATCTTTTCAAAAACATCAAACCATTCATCATTTAGTTTATAAACGCTTTTAAACTTAATCTTGACGAAATAATGTAAAAATCCCTTTTCCATCACACGGTTGACCTTCGGATTGCTGAAGCATGCAGAAAGTTTTGATCTTTGCTTGATAACTTCTAACCATTGTTTTGAAATTAATGTACATTTCGTCAATACGAATTTCCAATCATCACCCAGGAAGGACAATATTTCATAGCAAACATCATCGGAGAATGAATGATCAGTATAACCTTGGTTGACTTGAGTCATTTTTTTTATGTGATTTATTCGAATGTGTGAACAGCATTTAAAGTCTTAGCGATTGAGAATTAAATTATTCTCATTAAATTCTCAGAACATGTTCTAGTTTAGATCTTCTATGAAGAACAGGATTCGAAATTCCAATATTTTAAAGGAGCATGCATGAGTTGTGATTATTTTTTTAATACTTTCAAAAGTTGCAAGCTCAAAACAAGTTCTGGGTATGGACATTGTCTTTAATGTTACTCAAATACACAATTTATAAGCAATTATAATGAGGGGTTATAGCTCAGTTGGTAGAGCGTCTGCTTTGCATGCAGAAGGTCTAGTTCGATTCCCTATGACTCCATTTTTAGAACTATTTTTCAATTATAATTATTAAATTTTGCGAATATCTTTAAAAAATGTCTGAAAGTGATTCATCATGCTCGAGCGATTCTGACGACTATTCGTATGAGCAAGAAAAAACCACAAAAAGAAAATATGTTTTTAAACATGAATATTCGTATTACAAGAAAAGCAAAAAGGAATATTTAGGAATGCAAACACTTCTCGGAAGTCAACCAGATGAAATTATTGAACAAATACTAAACTTTATGAATTACAAATCTTCGATTCAAGCTTCGAGCGTTTCTCAACAATTTAGAAGAGCTTGGAAACAAACTCCTCATGGAATAGTTTATACCATGGTCATTCAATTGAACTATTCCTTTAAGAAACATTCTTATTCATTGGATGACAAAGTTGATTGTAGAAAATTTACAAAAGAAATTGTTTTAGGAGTAATGGATCAATATAAAAGAGAAAAGAAGAATTTATTTCATTTACGAAAGGCAGATCGGCTAATTAGTGAACTAAGAAAAACCAAAAAACAGTCAGAAAACTTTTCAAATGCCATTTCAAAAATTACTGGATTTGATTATGAAAGAACAAGCAAAATGGACTATGGAACACTTGTGTGTAAAGCTGCTGGCTTTGAAATTGAATTTGGAGAACTGGGAATGGTTAGATTTTGGGGATGGGATCCATATAGCAAGTATGAAGAGGGTTCTTCCTATCATGGAATATCTGCAGAACTGAAAGGTTTAGAGTTAACAAATGAAGAATGGGATATAATTATTGGACAAGCAAGTGATTATATTGATTCATGTCAAGAGTTTGAGGACTTTGACTATTACGATGATATGGGTAAATCAGTATTTACTGGGCATGAATTGGAAATACCATAGTATCATCAGCTCTTCAACTAAATATATCAGATTCCTTTTATTTTTTTAAAAAAATGTCCAAATTTGCAAAGGTCGAGCAAAGTAATATGAATGATGATTGTGTATTAAGGGAAGAATATGAAACGGATGTTGGTTCATTAGAAGAAGAGCAAACTAATGGTTTTAAACGAAAATACATTTCCGAAAGTGAGCAAAATAACTGTAAGAAACAAAAACAAGAAGAAGAAACCGTACCGGTTTGCAACAGAATGGCCATACTTTTAGGTAATCAGCCAGATGAAGTTGTTAAAGAAATATTGAATTATCTCCCTTCAGAATGCACAATCAGTGTTTCGTCAGTTTCTAAGCAATTTAGAAGAGTTTGGAAAAACACACCTTACGGAATAGTTTATAACATGCTTATTAAGCTTAATCATTCCTTTAAAGTCAATTCCTATTCATTGGCTGATAAAGCTATTGTCGGTGAGTTTGCAAAAAACGCTGTAACTTTAGTATTTGGGAAAGTTGAAAAAGAAATTGAGTTCGTTTTTAACAGCAAAAAGACTGGAATTTTCAAAGCTGAGCTGAGTAAAATCGATCAACAGTCAGAAAACTTTTCGAATGCCATCCCAAAAATTACAAGATTTGACTATGACGAGGGAGACAACATTGGTTTGTATGCCTATAAAGGTCATTGTTTTGAAATTGAGTTTGGAGAGCTAGGAATGGTAAGGTTTTCAACTTGGACTCAGTTATATTTAAAACATAGCAATGATGGCATAAATGCTGAATTATCAATAACTTTGAAAGAATTGAAACTAACGAACGATGAATGGGATATTATCATTGAGAAGGCAATTAGTTACATGGACCCGGAAGTTTCTTTTAGAGAGTTTTCATTTACCAACAAACCACTTACTTCCCAATTCACAAACCACAAACTCGACTTTGAAAAGTTCATTTGGTGAAGGTAAAATTTACAAAATCCTGAAAACCACAGAAAACGAAATTTCGCTTCCACCGCGCAATAGAACCAAAAAATTCCAATAAAAAGTCGCAAATGTGTTTCCAACTTGAAATCAACAAACTCAAAAAAAACAAAACAAATAACAAGATGGACATTTTCGTAAAGAGTATCACCTCCAAAACCATTGCTCTGAGAGTTGAAGGTAATGATAGAGTTTCTCACCTGAAGGAAAAGATCTTTATGAAGGAGGGAATCAAAACTGAATCACAATCACTCATCTACTCTGGTAAACAAATGCAAGATGATAGAACTTTGAATGAGTATGGTGTCAGACAGGATGCTACTATTCATTTGGTGTTGCGTCTCCTTGGTGGATCGGATTAGATGTGATTTTGTAAAGTTTGTTTCTTATAAAAATGTACAGATAGATTATTCTATGATTGTAAAATAAATTATCACTTTGTTTACAATATTAATCTAATTGCAAAATGATCTTGCACATCATTGCCACGTAAATAACAAAATATTAAAGCACATCACTTCATAAAACGATGATCAATTTCATAATTGAAAAAATGAATGATGATGAATTTCTATTGGATTCGTGGTCACATTGGTACTGTAAAGAAGGAAGTGGATTGGAAGATGGCTTTTTCAGTGACCAACACAATGAAGTTGCTATTCGAAAGGTCCAAAATTCAATGTATTACTACTTGATGAGAGATGAAGAGGATCAATTGACATCAGCTAACAACAACTCTCCGAAAATTTATCATGATTTGTTTAAAGTTGAGCAATGTCATGATGATTCAGAGAATAGTTTTCTAATTAAAAAGTTTAATCTATTAGAAACTAAGAAAGAAACTATTTATTTTACAATTCACATACCTGAAATTAGAAAGAAATTATTGGTTTCTAGAGAATTAATCATGTTGGAAAGCAAGGTTTTTGAAGCAATGTTAAATATTGAAATGGCCGAGTCGAAATCAAACGAAATGACTTTACAAAATTGTGAAAAATCGTGGTGTGATTATTTTGAAATGGTGATTGAATTTATTCACGTAGGAAAGTTAGGACTTTCTAAACGATTATTCAATGAAAATGATGCAAGAATTATTGGATGGAAAGATTTATTGGAATTATTGAAAATTGCTGACGAATATCAAATTGAAAGTTTAATCAGAGCTATTTCACGAGTTGTAAATCAATTCAATGCCCTCACTATTGGACTCAGATGTTTGGAATTTTCAGCTGATTGCAAGGATATTATCATACCTAAGGTTTGCTACATGTTGGGTTATAATTCATCATGTGTTATTTCTGATACAGTATATCGTGGAGAGAAATTGGAATATGCAAATGATGAGGATGAAAAGAAATACATGGAAAATCCAAAATTACTTATTAAGTATTATCCATTCCTTGATAATATCATGATTTCAAAAAAGTTAACTCAATTACTATTAGCACTATTATATGTACCTGTGTTAAAGATTGTTTCATCACTTCCATTGGAATTATTTGAAGGTTTGATAGATTCTCCTCATTTTTCTAAAGTGGAAGGAAACAAAATGGCATATATAGTAATGTGGATGCTTCAAGATATTGAAAATAGATTCAAAGATGCATATGGATTATTGAGGAAATATGATTGGAGTTTGTGTGATTACGAAATCCTCTACTCATTCTGTCTCATATTTATTGGAATTAGAAAGTCAATGCCACAATTTGAGAGCTTGATTGAAGAGATACAGGATCTGTTACACATTTACATGTTTAGGAAAGAACGTGTCATACCTGATGAGCTTTGGAAGAAATATCTCATTCAAAAAATTCCTGAAAAGGTTAATTATATTAATACAAAGCTTAGATTCCTATTACTTGGCCTTGATTCATCTGGTAAGACCACAATTCTAAACCAATTTAAAAGTGGAGAACCTGGAGTTACTGTAAGTGAAATTTAATCTATTCATTAATTAGTTTCGTTTAGACACCCACCATTGGCTTCAATGTTGAAACCTTGGAACGTGGCACTGCTGAAATTTGCATTGTAAGTTGAGGTTTTTGGAAAATATTTGAAATTTACTTTTAAAATTCTAGTGGGATATTGGCGGGAATGAAAAGAACCGAAGTCCACAAAAGGTTTGGAAACATTACTTGAGCAATACTGACTGCATACTGTTCGTGCTGGATTCGAATGATAGACAGAGACTTCAGGAAGCAACTGATGACCTAAACAGAATACTCAAAGATGATGAGCTCAAAAATTGTCCTATTCTAGTGTTTGCTAACAAACAAGATATATCTACATCTATGAGTCGTGTTGAATTGGTTTCACTGCTGAAATTACATACATTTAGGCAAAAATGGTATGTTCAATCGTGTTGTGCAATTACTGGTCTAGGTCTATCTGATGGTTTGGAATGGGCAATTCAGACAGTTGAGAAAGCTGTGGGTTTTCCTAAACTCCTTATCAATCACAAAAAGTATACCCATTTTGGTAGAGTGTCAAATTGGTGATTTGTGCAACATCTTTGTAAATGCCAATAATTTGATAATTATCTAAAAAAATGAGACTAATCCTCGGTTTGTGTTTTATCTTTCTCGCCACTCAATGCATTCTTCTTAGAGTTGTCTCTAATGGTGTGACTGCTCCTTCGCACACTGTCTATAATGATCATTTACAGAAAACTTGAATGATATTGAGAGGAGCCATAGCCCTAGTGGGAGGAAATGATAAGGGAAAATAATGTAAAATCTCTTCTTCAATTTTTAAAAACAACTCTGGAAATTTTGGTGGATCCATACATATGTGAAGGGAGATAGTTTCAATACTATACCTAAACAATAAATTGTTCTTAATTCTTAATAGTATTATTCTCCATAGCATTGAATTCATAATAATCCTTTTCAGAGAACACAAGTTGTTGTAATGTCTTATTCTGTTCCTCAACAAATTTTACAATAAACTCCAAATCACTTCCAAATTGACTTTCTTGCAACATTTCAATAAATTGAGTAATATTTGATATCATTCCATTGAAACAACTCTCTTTTAATAAACTAATATTTAAATTCTTATCCTCCTTTGAAAATGACTTTGTCATTGAATAAAGATGTAATGTTATTTGTTTTAATAAATAGGATGGAAAATTGTTATGTAATTCAATACTTGTTAAATTAAATGGTAATATTTCATTCATCAATTCTTGATTATTTACTAATAAGTAATATAAATTGAATGCAGTAGTAGTATAAGCGCCAACATTAAAAGTATTTCCTGATATTTCCCAATTAGAAGAGTCAGTAATATTAAAATTATTCTTCTCGGATTGAATTTTGATATTAAAATTATGAAGGCTATTGTGATTTCGGAAAACCCTTTTCCTTTTTTTTTTGAATTTTTTTGCAATTTTTTTTCCAACAAAATCCAATACAAACCAATTCAAACCAATTCAATCAAATAAAACAAACTTTATTTTAACTTACAATCTATTGGATTTCCAATTCTGTTGGGCGTGTCCAACATATTTTCGAACAATTTCCACTGGCATACTATCAAAGGTTTGTTTCACCAAGAAAGCCAATGGGTACGTTATATATTCTTCTCTTTTCAGTTCACTTTTCAACCACGAGAAACAAAATTCAATTAGAGTGTAATCTGGTGAATATCTACTTTGAAATAGAACATGTATTCCAGCTTCCTTCATGGAATCAACCAAAGTTTCCTTATTATGAACTGAACTATTGTCCATAACACACACTTTGTCTTTTGGAATTAAATGTTTCAAAGTATCCATGAAGTTTGAAAAGATAATTTGATCCACTCCTTTTTCGGTTGTATCAATGACTTCACAATAAACTACTCCAACCAATCTATTGATGCAAGCAATAATTGAAAATCTCTTATTCGAAACATGATGAGATGAGTTCCTTGCAGGTGTTCCTTTTAATGAGTGACCTCTCCTTCTTGCTAGATCGGTGTATGTAACAGTGGACTCGTCAATGAAAAACAAATCATCAATTTCGAAACCAAGAACCAATTCTCTGTAAAGTTTTCTATGTTGTTGAATATGAGGTTTTTTCCGATAATTACTTAATAATTCCACTTTCTTGTTAGTGATATTCAAAATCTTGGTTTTGACATCCGATAATTGAGATAATGATATCTCATTTCCAAATATTTCCTTAATAGATTGTTGCAACTCTTGCAGATAAAGAGTGGGCATAATTTCAAAACAAGTTTTAATAAAGGCCAACATATTCAATTGTGTAGATTTTCCAGAATACCTTGGACGACCTGGTTTTGATTTTTCTTGGTTTTCCATATATTTTCTAATCGTCGGAAGAGAAAACAAGGTTTCCACTCGAATAAGACGAGCAATTTTGTGTGGAGGTATATTATTAGCAGATAATTGTCATATTTATATTTAATTAATTGAATCTCTTCGTCTGCCAAACCTTTTCCATTCACATACACTCTATCAGTTAATTCGGGCAGCCAAATTTTTTTCAAATCTGATGCAATTCAATCCAATTCAAACCAATCCGAAGCAATTCAAACAAACCTTGAAAAAATTCAAAAAAAAAAGGAAAAGGGTTTTCCGAAATCACAATATTGGATAATAATATTAATCTTTCAGTAAATCAATATCATTCGTTTTTTCTAGAAATCAGAACACGATAAATGT